AACAAAAATCATCTTCCGCATACTGAAAAAACCTGGAGTCAACATTTATCTGAGTGAACACAGGTGTTAGCAACACTGGAGGAAAACGGCGTCTATGTACTAAAGGTATTGTTTTTACTGCTTAAATTTGTAATTTGTGTCTGTACTCGTCTCCTAAATATCCATAAGTGTTGCCTACAGCTGAGTCAGTCATGGTTTTATCGTAGCACCGAGAATCTTTTGCTTTTTCTATATTGTGGTTGGAGCAAACAGCTTGTGTTTTGGCACATCGTTAAATGAGACATGCAGAATGAAGTGACTTTAATGGAAAGTCACAGTTTTAAGAATAGATTTGGTGAAGCTTCTTGACCAAACAGCACATAACAGAGGAACAGTTCCATGTACAATATAGATAATTTACTACCTACGTTTTTAGTTTGTTTCCACGCTCGTCTACACAGCCTGCAGTTCTGCCCAAAGAAGTCCCTGAATGTTCGTTATGTGTTCACTGCAGGTGAGTCAGCTGAGACTTCTTGACTGAATCAAGGAGATTTTTTAGTTTTTTTACAGACTCTAGCGACTGTAAGCGATTTGTTTTTGGCATGTTGTGAAAGGAGACGTGAAGTGCTTTAAATAAAGGATTTGGTTGTTTTATCAGTGAACTGATTGGTTCAAAACAGCTGAAACGTTGAAAATCTAAACATTCTTTTGGCGTTTTCAGTATTTTGTTGTTGTAATTTTCCAAAATCCAGCCGGTGGGTTTGGAGGTTTAGAGAATTAAAGGCTTTATTTGAAGAACGTGACCTTACGCTCCAAATGTTTTCACTTTTCTTCTGAAATTAGAGCTGCATTAAAATGTTGTTTTTCAAATAAACCCCATAAACTTTTTCTCCTGTTTGTCCAACAAGTGTCTCCACCCGCCGGCCTTCGTCTGGTCTGGACGTTCAGCCTCCAGACCAACAGTCTTCAGCGGGACATTAACATGCCGGGTGCTCCCAACTACACAAAGTCATTTTCCACTTTGCTCCGCATCGATTCTCCATTATGGCCAATATCTGTGTTTTAACAATGACTGCACAAAGCACGGACGCACACACACACTGTCTGGGCTGATGGACGACCTCCTGGTGCTGCCAGGTGCTGTTTTGGGGTGACACAGTGGAAAACAGAAGAAGAAAGGAGCAGGAGAAGTCCAAGCGCCCGCATGAATGTGTGCTTGCTCTTTGTGCTGGAGTGCATTGTGTGTTTGTTGCGTCTGTGTTTCGGAGGAATTAAGGGCACAGCACCTGGCAGCACTTTAAGGAGTCAGCCGGTGAAGTGGGTGAACTGCTGTGGCTGCAAATCACGTTCACTATTCATGAAGCTCAAGAAGGTTGACAGCCTGTTTAAAACTGTGCAAATGTATCTGAGGAGAAATAAAAACCCTGCAAACATGGATCAGTTTGCAGCCGCTGCTAAACTTTCAGACACAATGCTCCCTTTCAGCCAAGAAATCTTGAATTTTCAGAGCCGTGCCTGTGATTTTATTGTGTCCAAACTTTCATACGTCACATGTTTTGTCCTTCCAATGGCAGGGATTGTGTTTTTAAGCCACTTAAACCCCTCAAAAAATCTGTTGTTGGATTTAAAAGCAACGTTATCTTTAGAAACAATCACCACTGATCAAAACCAGAAACTATAAAAACTTTTTCAAAAAATCTTCAGATTTTCAACTTTCCAACTGTCCTTGAACTAAACGTGTGACCTACTGTTCATCAGGAAACTTGAAAGCATCTAAATTAAAATTGTGATATTTAATGAAAGTGACTTAAAAACAAACCGTTTGCAGCAACAACGTTCTGTTAAAAACCAGAAATTCTGCACTTCTGGGTACAACGGTGAAGCCATGGAAATGTAGGATGATTCAAAGTTTTTTAAAAACTTTTTTGTGTAATAAATAATCAGAGAAATCCAACTTTCTTTTTGTGATCCATGGCTTGAAACGATGTTATACCTACGACGTGTCTGAGTTTTCTCTTCTTCCACAGAGGTGCAGGACTTTAGATTAAACTGTAAAATGAGTCCACAGGAGCAGGAAACACCAAGAACCAGCTTGTTGCTTAGAGGTTTAACCACTTTGGTGTTTTACTAACATCAAACCTGCAATTACAGGTCTTGAGATTAACTTTTGATGTTGGTTCACTGACTTTTTGCATTTAGGGTGCATATTTTATGTTCACTTTGGTGCCGACTAATGTATGACAGCCTTTATTGTTCACATTGGTCACTTCCTAACACACTATTTAAATTATTACAAACAGGAATCCAGGTGCAGATTAACAATTTTTCATAATTATAATCTGTGCTTCTTTGGCTTTATGCCCTGACAGAAAAACCTCTGATCCCTGCCGTGCTTTGGCTCTTTGCAACACAAGTAAACGTGATCCATAATATTTGGTCATTTTATCATGTTTCAGGATTCACTTGCGATGGTGATGCGACCGGCGTACATGCAGAGATTCATGCAGTTTAGAGGGACGGTTCGACCCAAGCTGTTCTCTGAAGCTGCGATTTACAGACGTCACTGAAACACCTCGTCTGCAGACTATAGGAAGACGCTACCGATGAAGGTAAACACTGTGAGGCGGCTGGGCATGGACAAGCCTCTCGTCGCTACTTTGCTTTCTGTAGCAACTCAAGACAGGAGTGTGAGCAAAACTTAGTTGGAAAAGATAAAATTAATCATTCTAATGTCAGATTTACTGAAACTGATGCGACCAGTTAATTCTGCCCTGTACACATTTTGTGCTGCACACTGAAGCCCTGGTGTACTTCAGGTGTAACAACCATCCACATAAGAAGGAAGAAGAGATTCAACCACTTCAGTCTGAACTGCAAAACAATAAACCAAAACACTGATGTGACTACAGCCCTGGTTGTTCTAAGGGGAGTTTTCAAATTCATCTGCATTAGTGAGATTCAGTTCATAGCTAGCAAAGCGGCACAAGATCAAGAGGCTGTGAACTTGACAGGACGGCGCCCGATGAGTGCAGTGGAAGCTGTTTTCATCAAAACTCTTGTCGAAAATATGGCTGTTTGAACATAGCGAGCATGCAGAGAGTTGTAGAAGTGGATTATGCTGCCGGAGTTGGTTTGAGAAGTTTCTAAAAACTGGATTTTTTTTTTCTTTTCCCTTCGCCGTGAAAACTGGGTCAGTGTTGGAATCCAGTGGAAGTGCTGCGAATCCAGACTGACTGCAGCCGCTGTCGTCTTCGGAGAGGCACAACTTTGACAGCCACCTTTCAACTCTGCAGGGGGCAAGTGTTTGATACTCAAAACATAGATTTGGAGGAGAGTACCACTTGATGGGGTTTATTTTTTTCTCCCATTCTGAAACAAAAAAACAAGTCATGGCGGCTTCTTTTTACACTCGTGACTTTGACTGTTCTGTCCAACAAAGTGAGCTTTATGTTATCATGGCTGAATACTAGAAAAGGAATATTTCCATTCTAGCAAACAAAGCAAGCGATCAGTCTTGAACTAAACAAGAATTTTGCCACCACCAATCCTAGATCTTGATATTTTCCAGTTTCGGTGCAGATTGGTGCAGAAAAAATGCAGCAAAAGCAAATCTTCTATCATGTGATGGCCTGTTTTTGCAGCCCACCTGTATTCACTACTACTGGCCCAGTGAGGGGCGTTACGTCGAGCTTGTTAACATCATGCACATCAGTTTTGTGCAGGCAGAGGCAGAGCTTTGACAGCCACCTCCCAACTCTGCAGGGAGCAAGTGTTTGACACCCCAAACATAGAGTCTGAGAGGAGCCACTTGATGGGGTTTGTATTTTTTTTTCTCTACTCTGAAACAATGACAGTAAGTCATGGTGGCTTCTTTTCACACTCATGACATGATTGTTGCATGTTTTTTTTTTTACTGCTTAATCAAAGAAACTGAGCTTTGTTTTCATGATAGCTGAATGGGAAAATGAACATTTCCATTCTTGTAAAAAATGTAGTACTGAACTGAGCATGGATTCTGCCACCGTGAAGCCCAGATCTCCCATGTTTTACATCTACTTTTCTGTGCAGACTGGTGCAGAAATGTGCAGCAAAAGTGAGTTTTCCATGAGGTGATGGATTGTTTTTGCAGTCCATGTTTATTCACTGCTGCGCGAGACGTTACGTAGCGCTTGTGAACATCGTGCACACCGGTTTTGTGCAGGGAGGGCGTTTGTGTGACTGATTTCAGAACTGTACTTCTTTCAGTAATTTCCTCCAGCGTGTCTCCGTTTTGCCCTCGTCTCATGAGCCGGATTCACATTTCTTTTAGGTTTAAACGTTTTCAACTCACGCAGACACGGCTTTGCTGCAAATTGTAGCACCCAGGGCGAATTTATCCGCCTATAGAATCGGCTTCCGTCGAGTCTCTTGCACTCCTTCCCAATAAATTTCATGAGCTTGTTCTGTTTCAGCTGCCCAGGGCCGATCGGGCGAACACAAATGATTGGAACAAGAAGAGAAAGAGTTCAGACGTCTCAACAGTGTTACAGGTCAGACTGGTGGGTGGCACTTATCGATTTCTGCGCTTGGTGAGAAGCAACGTCGGCTTGCATGCGTGTTTTTTTTTTTTATTCTCTTGTGTGTGAAACATGACTACATAAGAGGGACAAGAAAAAAAATAAAAAATGCTGCAGAGTCGTTTCAGATCAGGGTCCAGAGATGAAACACTGGCTGCTGGGACTGAAACCACACATACAGACACACAAAGCCCAGGACTCCCACCCACAGCATGGAGCCAGAGGGGGAGGTCAGAGGTTAACTGAACCAGGGTGTTAGGTCAGACGGGTTAAACTGGACACTTTAGCACAGCAGTTGGGGGGTCAACAGGGGAGAGGGGCGGGAGGTTCATTGTGTGGTCCGGTTACCAGTTAAGCACGCAACGTGTCTCGTGCCTCTGGCCTCATTACGGACTGGTCGGCGGTGTGCGAGCGCGGAAACAATGCATGCGTGCGGATGAATGCGCGTGTTAAGCAGTTTAGTACCTAGCCAGTCGTTGAACTTCTTAACCTCGGAGGGCAGCCCCAGCTCGGTGAAGTCGCCCATGTGCAGCAGCACGTCGCCGTAGGGCATCTGGACGCCATCTGTACGCGAGTGCGTGTCCGAAACGCACACGAACCGGGTGTGTCCTGCTGGTTTGGGAGTGTCGTAGGGAATCGGGTCCACCCTGAAAACACCCAGGAGAGAGAGAGAGAGAGAGAGAGAGAAAGGTGAGACTTCAAACAACTCCTCCTCCTTCTGCAGGAATGACGGCCGGAACACTTAAATCTGAACAATCACATCAACATCACTTCTCTCAACAGTTTGTGGAACATCAGTTTCAGTGTCGTGTGTTGCATTCCTTTTATTGTCTGATGCTACTTTACTACCTCAGAATCATTGCCAGTATTACTTAGTGCATTACTTTTTCTAATCCATTCTAATTTTAATGCACTTATTGTTATTTTGACTAATATATTAAACTCATATCTTGTTGTTTTTCTATTACGTATTTTCTCGTGTAGTTTCTCAAAGTTGGAACATCGAGCAGAAGAATTTAAAGTTTTATCTTGTCCTATAAATGTTAAAGATTCTGGACTTTGGGTTTGAGCTGATTGGTTGGATGAAGATCAAAGCAGCAAAGGAAACGGTGCAAAATGTAGTGACATCATAAGGAAAGACAAACAAGAAATACTGGTGAGTGCCGTTGATTACTGAGTTCTCTAAAAATGGGGAAAATGACATTAATGCACAGCAGAAAAACACTGATAGTGCACATGTAGATACAGACAAATTGTACTATTGAAATATACACAAAATTCATAATGCATGAATTTTCCCTTTAGGGCTTAAACTAACAGGGTTTGTTTTTTTTTTTTTTTAATTTATTAATTGTTTGATTATTTTCTCAAAAACCTGATTAGTCTTTTATGAAAATGTCGATCAGTGTTTCCTAAAGTTTAAGGTAATGTTCTTGTTCTGTGCACAACCCAAAGACGTTCAGTTTACTGTCACTGAGGAGGAAAGAAACCAGAAAATATTGACATTTCAGACGCTGTAATCAGAGAATTTAGAATTTAGCTCAAACACAAATTTGTGATCTGATAAATTCAAACGGCTGATCGCTCAGAATTCACTGTGTGCGTTGCGACTTTCATTTCTTCTTTCCAGAAGTTGTCGAGACAGTTTGTGACCTTTTTTCAATCTTTGAGGTAGTTTGAAGGCACTTTACCGCCTGTACAGAACGTACCACCACCGAGCTGTGACTTCCTCATAACTCTCACGGCTTCATGCCATCAGCTCGGAAGGTATAGAAACTCAAAGAAAGTGATTTCTGACCTGTCGCGTCGCACCGTAAGCGCATTTGAATCCAAACAATTTCGCGAGCAGTTAAACTTTCCGCTCGTTTTCTGATGTCTGCCCTTGGTGTTATTTAGTCATTTTATAATTTAGAAGACCCAAAAAAAAGAAAAAAAAGGAGCTGCAAATCAAAGAATCTGCCCTTTTTTCTTTTTTTTTTTTTACTCTTTGTTATGCTTTAAAAAGCTCTCTCAACACGGACGCATGTTTTTAGGAAATGTATGCTAATTTCACACGAGGAAAGCAGAAAACTGGAACCTTAAAAAGATCATTTGTTGTGGAAAATAAATTACACGGTCCGCGGAATAATGCATGTAGCAGAGCAAAATGCATCTCAAAGAAAAGAGGAGGCATTACAACAAGAGGGAAGTGTGCAGTTTGGGCTGGAAAACAACCAGTGCTTCGGCTGATTTGATGATTTGTGCTCACAAGGAGGGCAATGGCTGTTTTGTGGCATCAGATTGACTAAAGAGACGGTGAATTAAGGCATGCCATGTCCTCTCTATCCATTATCTAAAGAAAAAACACTTAGACCCAAGTCTGGCTGGGAAAAAGTCCTTTATTCGCCGCCTTTTTGTTTGTTGTAAGCGCGTCTGAGAAAATGGAAGAAAAACCTGTACTTTTTTTTTTTTTTTTCTGACTGAAAGGAAAGAGGAGAGAGAAAAAAAATCATCTTGTCTGTAATTGAAGTCTACAATGTGCAATCCTCCAGCACTCTGCCACTAGACTATTATTTCATTAGAAGGGATGTCACTCTGTCAACAACATCAGACACATAATCAACCCTGCAATCTCCAACCTGACGAGCACGCACCAACACACAGGCGGTTTAACTCGCATGCGTGCACAAGCGTGGCACGGAAACGAGCGCAGAGGCAGATGAAATCAAAAGGTTTCAGCCCGGAGAAGACGTCACTAACTGCGATAGAGAAAATGGGCACTTGTGCACAAAAGAAAATCTTATTTGGGGTGGCGACGTCGCATTTGAGGGTTCCCATTTTGGAGGCAATTTTCCCATTTTCGGTGGCATGTTGAGCAAAATGTTAGACACAGAAAGCCAGGAGTCTGTTGTTTGTTTACTTGAAATGTCATCTGCAAGATTGTGTTAATGTTAAGACAATGCTGGACAAGCTGTCCGCCGTCTGCAGCAAACATTTGTGCTGCGTGAGCAACATGTGCAGTCTGTTGTCTGTCTGAAGTCCAGCAACCATCTGGAGTCGCTGTCTGCGGTCTGTCCGCTCTCGTAGGGTGGATTATTTGGATAAAATCTGCCATCATAGTGTACGAAAAGGTGACAAAACCCAACATAAGGTGTCTCAGTGAGGTGCTGGTTCACTACGAGCCTCCAGAGCAGCCTGTCTTACTTTCTACAGCTTCATAAACTGGAGGGATGTGCACCACTCTGCTAAAACGTATCTACTTTATTTGGGGTTTTGGTGATGAAATGTGCTCAAAAGTTCAAAAAAAGTTATGTTCGTTTGGATTTTCATTTAGCATAAATAAGATTTAGAGCAGATTTATTGGAAATTTAACTGAGAAACTGTTTCTAGACAAAACAACCAGGTGTGAATGTCTGAATTTTAAGACATCAGATTTTGGAGAACAAAACGTAGTAGGAGCTTGATCTCAAAGAAAAAAAAGTAAGCTGGCAAAAGAAATGACCTGCCCATCGATAACCAATGCTTGGACTAACGTTTTGATGGTTGCCGTGTGACGTCAAATTGTCCTTGTTGCCAAGTTAATCAAACAGCTGATTGGATTTTTCTTTGTACCATCAACTCTGAATGGTTAAAAACAATCACTGAATCGAATAAGCAAAGTGCAAATCATTGATAAGGTGAGTTCAAACCAAAAATAAATGCTTTTGTTAGGGAGTAATTTTAGTAACTCTACCAATGTAGTTTGTCTGACACCAAAACAAATGCTAACCAAGCTACACAGATATTCATGTACTGCATTGTGCTAGCCAGCGAAGTTAGTTGACTTTACACAAAGATACCAAACTCACATTAAACTAATCCAACATAGGACAGATTTTAGACCAAGAGTGTGATAAGTGTTGCTTCATTTCAGCAAATATGGTTTAAAACAAACAATGTGAGAAAAATCCACTGGCACCTAAACCCCCTGAAATGGAAAAACCAAGGTCAAAAAATGAAAATGAATCGATGTCAAACACAGGCTGTGTAAAAGAAGTTAACGTAGCCTCAAAGTGCATTAAACCTGCATTCTTTCTACCGGCCAACAGGGGGCAACTTCTCTGATTGCAAAAACCGAGTCCAGTTGTACAGAAGTCTACAAAAAAACGACTCTGCTTCTCAACTGATTTGCTAATTTAGCAAATGTTTCCAGATTGAGTTTATAGTCTCCATCCCAACCTTTAAGTCTTCTTCAATACAGCAAGGTGTTCATTTTGTAAATTATGTTTCCAAATAGAGTAAAACAGGTGATGAAGCAGAGCACGCTTTAGGGCGGGAATACCAATTGCTACTGTTTTGGCAGGAGTAGGATCCTCAAGTTCTCCTCAAGATTCAAACGTTAAAAGCCTCTAAACATTACTCCGCATTATGGTGGCTACGTCCATTTTCCAAATAAAGTCTACGATCTGCAACTAGTTCAAAGTTTTACCAACACCTGAAGCAACACGCTCCGACCAAAAAACTGTGTTTTGTTTTTCAAACACACTTTACGCTCATTTACACGAAACAGTGATGAAACTCTGAGAGCAACAAATAATGTAAAAGCTGTTTTCATTGAGACAAGAAAGCTGAAATTGTGGTTCTGATTGTTTTTCTGTAATTTTTAATGAACACTCGTCATCAGCCTCTGATCAGACGGAGGTTTGAGGGGCAGACAGGATTCATCATCTCAGTGTGTCGGCGGCGACGGCGGCCGAGAGCTGATAGTCTGCAAACGGCCGCTTGTAGCTTCACGTCTGCAACTTCAGTCTGCAGCTGAAGAAAGAAACCAGTCTGCTGTCTGTGGCTCGCATTTCCTCGCTTGCAGTCAGTCAGTGTTTGGAAGTCGCTGGTCCATTCCCTTTTATATACTTCTTCCACAGCCTCAGCTGGGAGATCTCAGCTCTGCTCTGATACACAGGAGCCGAGCGAGCATCTCGGCTATCCGAGCGGGCCGGGGCTACATATTAAACACAGCGAGCGAAATGAAAAACTAGCCACAGAGATAATGATATTTACTATTGACTGTGTGCAGTAAACGAGTCTCCGCGCTGCCGTATGCACACAAACACGCACACATTAACCTAAGCCACCGGAGCAGCGCGTACATTGCAGTGTAGCCGCTGATTAGATTTGGTGCTGTGCGGTGCCTGGACGTCATGCAGCTTTACAGGATTCGACAGTTCTCGTCATGGAGAAAGGACGAACGCAGAACCACATGGGACGACAAAAACAGACACAAACACGCTCCTATATTTATACACACACACAAGCATGCATATTAAAACAAAGCCAAGGGAAAAACAACCTCCATCTCCTCCCCTTTCCTTTGAGATTTAATCCACCCGGAGAATGTAAGTAAATACCAGCAGCCCCTATCAATTAGAGCAGGCCCAGGCCAAGAAACCTTCATGATAGTAATGCATTGCTCTCTCTCTCTGTCTCACACACACTCACACACACACACTCACACACACACACAGAAAGGAAAAGAGAGAGAGAGACCCCCTGTCTTTCCTGTTAACATATGACTGTATAACAATCCAGAGGTTCATTAGTAATGTATACAGGAGTTCAGGAGTTCAGCGGTGCAGCAGAGGCCTCTGATCTATTGTAAACGGAGACAGCGAAAATGAAAAAGTCTTCCTGA